ATATCACTGGGCTCTCAGCCAGTGCTGGTTAACTCTCTCCATCGCCAGCTTCTGTTTGGCGGCCACCGTGCTTGGGGGCTTGTGACTCCCACAGCCAGCACAGGGTCACTCCAAACACAGACCTCCTACACCACACACGGGTTCTAGCCACGACCTGTTTCCTCCCCAGCCCAAACACCCAGGGCCTTACTCATTCCATATTCCTGGCTTCTCTAACAGCACTGATTAGGATGGGGAGGGGGGTGAAAAAACAGAACAAATCCAGTTATTCAATTCTAGAGGATCAGCTAAGTGTGGCATGACCCATTAATACAATGGGATATTATTCAATGCATACAAATGATGCAATAACAGATAAGTAATAAGATAGACGCACACCATACATTAAGGAAAAAAGTAACAAAATGTGTTTCTTAACTGAAGAATGGACACTAAGCAGCTGTCAGTAATAAATCGCTAGATTGTAAGATGATAGTTGATATTCCTATTTATTATCTGTTAGTCTCTATTTTATAACTTTTTAACATTGATATGTATTCATCTGGGAAAATAACATTAGAAATAAAATACATTTAAAATGGCATGTTAAAAATATTCCACATTCTTTAGGGTGCTGTGCATCAAGCTTTATGTGCCCTAGAAGCTTGGGGCCCCTCTGCCTGAAAAACTGAATTTGCCCAGAGCAGTTTGCCTCTAGGCAGTGCCAAATCCTGATTTTGCAGAAAGCCAGGCCTGGAGAAGGAATTTGGCACCTGAGCTGTGGCAGTGCCATAAAAACAGGTATAGTGGACAACTCTGTATGAGGTTCTGGACAGATGGTTTTCTTTTTCTTTTTCTTTCTTTCTTTCTTTTTTTTTTTTTTTTTTGCAGTACCAGGGATTGAACTCAGGGTCTTGCGCTTGCCAGGCAGGCATTTATTCTACTGAGCTATCTCCCCAGCCCTGGACGAATGGTTTTAAAACCTGTAGGTCCCACCCATGAAATCTTACATAAAATAACTCCTAAACAAACATTGTGTTGATCTGGTTGAGTAGTAATGGGGGCCTCTAAAGACCCCAAACCTTCCTTTCACCCGAGATGTCACAGCAGTTCTTGAGGTCATTTTGTAGCTTCCAAAATGACAAGCTGTCAAACCAGTAGTAGTTGGTTTTAAGAAGGTGACTTCCATTCCAGCAGCAGATATGTTGATTCAGGGTGTGAAACACAACTGAAGCTATTTTTACTTCCCAAGACCACCCATTCATTTGTACACATACCTGAGTTCCCTTGAGACTTGACCTTCCTTTGATATGGAAAGCTTTCTTCCCCACATCTGCCCACAAATTCCTAAAAATCCCAGATTTACTCTTTTCTCCTTTCTGACCCCTAATACCATAGATTAAGTTTTCCTCCCCTGTAGACTGATAGTATTTTATGCATGTATTTTATTCTACCATTTTGTAACATGACTTTCAAGATGGACTACATGCACTATTTAAATAAATACTGCAGGTAGGACTGAAAACTCTCCTCCCAGCCATGAACACCTTCAACTTGTTGTCTGTAGTTGCTGATATATAAATAAGAATTAAGGCATTTTAGTGGCACAGAGATAGACAGAAAAGTCATCATGATTGGCGTTCAAACAGTATAGTATCTATCATAACAGCTAGTGTAAGGAGAAGCTGTGAGACTCCATGGTGTGGGGATCACCTTAAAAGAAGAAGTTTGCCTTGCTACAAGGCCTAGGAGGAAGGAAACATGGCAGTTTCCAGTGGAGAAAAGTGATCATCACATACAATCACTGAGGCCCAGGCTATCATTTGGTGCAGTACGTACTGCGGGTAGAAGCTGTTTCCCAACAAAAATCATTATTTCAGTACCCCAAGACTTCTCTAGAACTCACTGAAAGAAGTCAGTGTTCTGACCCACAGAAGAAAGGCAGTGCAGGTAAAGCAGCAGCAGATCAGCTCAGGTCCCGCAGACAGGCAAGCTTAGGAGGAGGATGGACAGATTTTGGAGCACAGACTCTGGTAGGAAGGGTGCAGACACCGCCTCCATTTTGCACAACAGAATGAAAAGAGCAAAACAGAAGCAATGGGATACTCAGTGATCTGAATCAAAGAATCAGAGCACTGCTGATGCATGGGGTCTGGGTTTTAGAACAGGAGCAGGAACAAGACAGGAGAGGAAGAAGAGATGGAGAGCTAATCATTAATAGATTGATACAACTGGCAAACTTGAGACAGAAATGTTAGGGCATGTTGTTGTGCCCACAGGCCAGTAAGGCAGGGAGATCTTCAAACTGGATGATTCCACTGTTGTCATCTGTTCACATGATTAGAAATTAATATTATTAGGCACTATGCCTAGCTCTGAAATCAGCATAACTCAGATATCTATGTGTGAGAAAAATATTTCCATGAAGTTTCACTCTACATGAAACGATGCTCTTAGGAATTGTGGCAGTATGATCACTTGAGACTGAGGCCTTCTCAGGGGTCATGGGGTGTCAATAAAAAAGATACCCTGGCCCAGTACACTTTGTATATAGAATAACTTGTATTACAGTTTAGAAAAGGAAAAGCTACATAAGAATAAAATTTTACAGCTTGGCTTTATGATAGGGAGGATGGTACAGGAGCACTCCATACATCCAAACATGTTGTACCTCCCTCGCTTTATCCAGTCTGAAGTCAAAAGTGCTATGAGATAATGCACAGCTGTGCATGCCAAACTACGTAGATGGAGTAGAGCATATGCTTTCTCCACGTTTTGTAGAGGGAGACAAGTTCCCGAAATCTTGCTCATCATCCATTCCGACCCTATTTATTTGATTATACAAGGATCCTGTAGTGGCACAGTATTTATAGTATACTTGCTTTGAATCAAATGTATCCATTAAATTTATATGTTAATGTGGTTAAGTTCCATGGGATAAGTGAGACTATCCCATGAACTCAAAATTTACATAATTTATTTTCCTAATATGCACATTAAAGATGAGTGTGAGAGACTGAGTTGAAAGCTTGCATAAAAATTAAGTGCATGAGGGGCTGGTGAGATGGCTCAGTGGTCTAAAGCACCTACTTAGAACAAGCGTAACAAAGCACAGGGACCACGGTTCAATCCCCCAGCACCACATGCCAGCCAGCCCC